GTCAAGATCAAGCAACAGTACGGGCCATACTGTGGAAGTACGAATGAAGCTACTAACTGAACTAGGCTCTCCCCTTGGGATGACGGAAGTAACGATATCAGCTCAGAAGCTTACCGCGAGATCGAAAATCTCCAAAAGCTAACAGAAAACCACTGCACAAGTACACCTACACTTATCGATACAATCGCGTTTGATCAAGATACTACAATGTGTTTTCCAGGTGGTTATCTCGTGTTTATCCTTATGGAGAAAGTCCCGGGCCAAGATCTTGGCCACTTCAACAGTTTAACATCAGAACAACGAGATGATGCCCGACTTGCCTTTATCAAGGCCTTATGGTAGTAAATTGTTTTATGTTTAGGTCTATCTAGCTTACTAAGAACTACTAGGGAGTTTCGCAGCCATGGGTTTTATCATCATGACCCTCGCAGACAAAATATTATCTGGGATCGATATTCGAACAAATGGTATGTCTGACTTGAAAAATAGATTGAATCAGTGAATTGTTCTAACTTTTATAGTTATATCGTTGATCTTGAAGATGCTGAGGAGTTTGGATTATCTTTCTCAGGCCTTGATCCTCTGGTAGAGTTCTCTCTATGGAATCTACACGGCAAAGAAGAAAAGTCCCCCGATAACCACTTTGATGATGATCCCATGATCCCGCATGAGCGTCAGGATGGATGGATGTTTACCTACTTAGAGGATGTGATAAATTTCCTAGTTTCGAGGATCAGATGTTGAACGAGACTGTATATGGGTTATTTTAGTCCAAGCAGTGAGCGGGAAATCTTTGGCTCCCCTCTTAAGCACTATGGAGTGGTTTGACGGGCTTGCGGAAGTCTCGGAATGCAGCAGAATTACCTAATCATAAGGCGGTGGACACTTAACTCTGCAACCAATATTGCCTTCATCATAGAGAAGACATATTAAGAAAATTATAAAATTTACATGTACTTATACGGTCTACTGAAGCTAGAATAGTTCAAAATTATTTCTTTAGGTTATTGTAGTGAATTGTGCTGGGCATGAATCTTCATTGGTTTATAGCTCTTGGAAGGCAGCATTGTTGACGGAAGTGGTAAGGTACGTAAGTAATTGCTTGAACAAATAGACTAGCCACTCGCCAAGTTGCAATAAACTCGGACTTAGAATCTGAATATTATGACACTCGGTTAAAGAATAGCTTAATTGTTGACCCCTTTGGTTTTCTCAAAGCTTGCAGAGACCAAGACTGGGCGGCTTTGAGCTGTACAAGAACTTAGTATTGGGTTTATCGGACTTGCATGTTATTGATCTCGAATTATAGCCTCAAGAAGGCGAGTCAGCAATAGATAGCTTTAGATATAAAAAGAGGGTCTCTATCCTCCTTTAAGAGCTCTATAACCATCCATTATTCATTTGTCATACACTATCCCTTTCATACCTATATAAAGTATCCAGCAAAAAAGTGAAGACATGAAGATCATTTGCCAGACTTGTCGTGATCTTGTTGAAGACTCGTTCTCAGACATAGCAGAGAAATCCGGGAAACATTCCTCAGGTACAGGTCTACACGTGATAGACTTTATTGGAGAACTGCGTTATTGGCACGATTTCCGAGCTGAAGTTGAACAGGTTCTCGGAAAAGTCGAATGGGATAACTATCAGCATCCTGTCACAGCTCATGTTGAGACAAGTGATGTTTATTACAGCGAGCATTTTCTTTGCGGCGCCGAAATCTCGAGCAGCGCCCGCTTTATATCGAATGTTCTAAATCCGTTAACTGGTGTCGCTAATATCCTCGGGTATCCTCTGTACTTCGGCGATTGGACTGTCACTGTGGATAAGTTGAAATGGCCGGTTCTACCCCTAGCCAACGAGCAGAATAAAACGTTCACTGGAAAACCGAGCGCCATCACAGAGACAGAAGGCCAAAGCAAAAAGCCCGCGAAACCCGAGAGAGGATCAATCCCCGACTATGCCCTAATTGATGACAAAGGCAAAGCCCGCGCAATTGGGGAGGCCAAGCACCCCTGGGGAACTCTCCCTGACGTGAATATCAAGCAAACTCTTAAGGGGGACAAGGAGGGCGAGAAGCTTCACCGAAGGTTTCTCGGTAAGTAACTATTGCATAGTATTATTCGTATATCTCTAATAAGTTGCAGGACAGATAGCAAGAGACATGTGGGCTGCGAATCTCAAATATGCTTTCATGACTAATTACAGATGGACTGTTTTTCTTCGTCGTGAATTCAGCGAGGGAAAGTGGACTCTTTATTATTCTGATGCGATAAAGCATGATTCAAAAGCGCAAAATCGAGACCACACAGCAAGCATTTCAGTACGCCAATGCATTCTCTTTATCATGATCAAAGTTGCCTCATCCAACCCGGAAGACTGGTCAACTAATGAATCACGGCGTGAACCTCTCTCGACTTGGGTGTATATTGCCCCCGACAAGAAGGAAGGCACGGAGAAAACAACAAGTTCTAACCTCTATCTCTCACGAGTTCAAGGTGAACGCGGTTTGTTTTCGGAAGGCTCAATTACTTCGGCCAATAATGATTTACCTGGGAAGGGATTTGCGGCTGGCAAAGCATCAGAGCTTACTCTGCCGCACCGCTCACTTTCCACCACTCAGATCAACTCATCAGATCGAGAAAAAGAGCCTACGGATGCCACGCAGGAAAGCCTCAAGGGCAAAGGAAAGATAGCCGAAAGTACCGATAAGCAAGGCGCCAAGGGTAAAGGAAAGGCAGCTGGAAGTACCGACAAGGAAGGTGCCAGAGGCAACATGAGGGCAAGTGAAAGTACTGATAAAGGTAGCTCCAAGACCACAAGGTCCACAGGGAGTCTCCGCAAGTGAGAACAGATAGGCTCAAGAACAGTGCAAGCATGCTGGAAGCCATGCTCGCTCTGAGTAATACCTTTGCTATTCAACATAGCCTTCTTATCATGCTATTTTGTTGCTTTTCTCCCCCTTTCTATCAGTCGGCAGTTTTAGTTGGCCTATCTTCTTCTTCTTTTCTTTTCCTTCGCAAATTAATTTATATTGCAGTTGAGTTGGATGGTTATTCTCAAATATCACTGAATATTATGAAATGTATCTGGAGCCTGCATAAATGTGTCAATTAAACAACAAGCCACTCCGGTGGCATTGCTTTGAGCCTGTGAAGTTCCATCCCCCAGTGACGGATTGTAGAAACCCATGCTTGCCGCCTGCTGAAGTCAACCTCTAATTTTCGTTGACGATGCGCTTGGCTTAGAAGATACTCGGCCCAGTAAATTCGATAATGTGGAACAGTTTCGAATAGTACTGTTAAGAAACTATATCAGAACTGTCACTGACAACAGATTAGATATAGGTCTGAAGAGTGTTATTTTGACTATGTCCTTCTCGCACGATGTGACGATAAACTCGTCTGGTTGAGCAGCTTCCCAGAATCTAGGTTTCTAGTGAACAAAATAATCACGCAGCAGTTTGCAAAAGAGGTTTTCAAGAATCGGTTCAGTAAGAGTAATTTGAGCAACCATGGCATGCACGGAAGCAATGCGCCATACCAAGCCATACTGAAGCTATAATGTAATGTTGTGGATCAGATAGTTCAATGAATTTGCCGTGATGAATGTCAATGAGCACCTAGGAAATCTAACATCCCATCTTTTAAAACAGAGTCATCACCTAGAGTGAGCTAAGGGTTTGTGCAATGAAGCACGAGGGGAGATCTTCCGATGACTATTGCCTGTTCACCCGTTCACCTACAAAATAGGCCATTATCGTCACTCCACATCAACAAGAAACTGTTGTTCAATAGAGCTGTTAAGAGTCACAGTAAAAAGTTCTGTATATTGTGATGTCATCTCATTGGTCAAAGACAGCCAGGGAGAAGTGAAGATAATTGCGATATACACGCGGACTGAAGGGGTTCACGGATGTTCCAAGGTACTTCCGCTGTGATAGAGCCCGCAGCTTTGATCACGGATGCAGACTATGGACTCGTGCTCCCTCATTGGCTGCTTTAGCGCAGAGAAATAGCACTTATGCAACAATCAACCAGTAAGATAACTATGTAATGCAAAGACTAAGCTGGTTTCTAATAAAGGTATTCTGCGCAGAATCAGTACTTGGCGACACAGTACTAACATAATAACCAGTCAGTACAATGACTATATGATGTAAAACTAAGCCGGTTTCTAATTAAAGTATTCTGCGCAGAATCAGTACTTGGCGACACAGTACTAACATAATAACCAGTCAGTACATGACTATATGATGTAAAACTAAGCCGGTTTCTAAATAAAGTATTCTGCGCAGAATCAGACCTTTCTTCCCATGATCAGAATTAAATGAGATAGGCAACATTCCTTGTTTTACTTGAGTTGACTGTACACTCCCGCATCCCTTTCACCCACTTTACTAAGTATCTCTAAAGAGCATTAATTCCAGATGCGTTTCTTGGCACAGTGTATGGTACTTTTTCTGTACTCGGAGGTCGCAGCCGATTTTCAAGGACTTTCAGAAGTTCATCAAGTTCCATCGTTATCATTTGAACATCGAAACCTGCGACCGTTGCAATGGCAAAGGAAAGGTTGACGACCCGAGACTCGGATCAGCGAAGTGCGGTCATCTTTCTGGAAGTGGCGTTGTGCGGTACCCTTGCAGTACTTGCAAGGGCAGAGGGGTGCTAGGCTGATATGTGGATCATCTGAGGGAACTTGAGTGAGGAGATTGACTGAGGAGATTGAGTGAGGAGATTGAGTAAGGATTTGGATCGGGAAGATTGAGTGGAGATGATAGATTCGTGGAGCTTTGAGTGAAGGGATTTTGAGCTGGATAATATCCAGCAGTAGATTTGACAGTTCGGTCGTGTACACTCGTTTTTTCTGCGTACTGTATGACTGTTTCCTTCTGATATTGGCATGATACGTCTGTATTTATCTGCTATGCATAGTTATTCGAGTCACTCTTTATGATTTTTTGCAAGGATATATTGGACCAGAAAGTCTAGCTCCGATAAAAACTCGGCGTCTGGCGTATTCGCTGCTTGTTTAATGCAAGACCCTCTGGCTTGGGGAATAGCTGGACCTTTCGCTAACGAATAGATCCTGTACATCAACCCCAAAAGTGCTAGATATGTACAAAGAAACCATGCCCACGAAGAGAAACTCAAGCTAGATTGTGTCGCTTGGGCGCAAATTTCATTCACTATACACAAATCTCACTTGGTACAGGTGGAGGGCTCTTCTGTTGTAAGTGGTTGGTTCCCGGCTAATTCTTAGGAAATTAGTTTAGAAGCATCAACGTTCGCCTGTCCATCCAAGAAATCTATAAGAGGGCCCTAAAGACATCTTTTCTTGCTATTTCGTTGCTCATAATTCTTCTACAGGATTTTTTCAATCCGCAATGACTCAGCCAACATTGTCCCAGTCAATTATTGCTGAGTATAAAACGTCACGAAGTCCTTTTCTCTCGCTTGCCGAGAAGGAATCTGTCAGAAAACATTTTGCAGAAATTCTGGAATACTTATCGTTAGAGTCGCGGCGTGAAGCTCTAGGCATGTGGCGTAAGCTTCAAAACTATCAAAGATCGCAGAATAGTGATTATGTCAATCCTGGAAGTGAGTCCTCTTTTATGCTTAACTTGAACTCTACTGATTAGCAGCATTCTGCCTGTAGATGGGACTTTCAAAGAATTAGTTGACATATTCTGTGAACATGACTCGAACATGTTACAAGGCTGGATTAACAAACTGAGATTAGATGCCCATTCACATCTGATATTGCGCTATATTCTTGATTTGCGTAAACAGGAAGAACATTTTGATTCTTCCTGCAACCTGAGTGAGTATATTCCTTATTATTATTGAGGAAGGTTGTGACATTTTCGCAGTCGATAGTGTTATTCCAATTCAACTCATCCATCCTCGTTTCATGAATGAGAGCTCTGTCGGAAGCAATTTACCCACTCGCGAAGACCTTTTGACCAGATACAAGGAAACATTCTTGAAAATATCATCGCACTCATGTCGACGCATTGCTGCGGCTGTTGTTTCTTATATTGATCCGCTGTACTCATCAAGGCGGCGATGGCATGGAGAGAGATGCCCTGACTGGTGGCCACGGGATATGAAGTATGAAATAATCTCCAGGATGAGGGATAGTAGTAAGTCTTAAGCACTGATAAAGCGTTTGATTAAGCTAACTAGCTAAAGATTTGCTAGAATTACTCATGTTCCTGCTTCATGACCTTTACTTCCAAGGCATCAGGAGTAACAACTGGGACGAGGCGACTAGGAAGCTATCTCTTTTCAAACATGAATGGGACACGCTACAGGTGATCTTAGATATTCGGAAGGAAGAAGAAAGTGGACATACAAGTATAAGACCCTCGTTATAAATCAGAAATGTCACTGACAACAGATTAGATATAGGTCTGAAGAGTGTTATTTTGACTGACTATGTCCTTCTCGCACGATGTGACGATAAACTCGTCTGGTTGAGCGGCTTCCCAGAATCTAGGTTCCTAGTAAACAAAACGATCACGCAGCAGTTTGCAAAAGAGGTTTCCAAGAAGCGGTTCAGTAAGAGTAATTTGAGCTTCTGATTAAATACGCCTCTATTTCTAATCACATAATAGAACGCGGAATCCCGATGCGAATCCAGCGCCCATGTACACAGGAACAGTTACAGAAATACAGGATTGTGGCCGGGCTTCAACCAAGCTATCGCCAATGAGTTTCCCACTGGCAGTGCAGCGGAAAAGGGAAACAGAGGAGGGGGGTTGCGGCAGTTCAAATTGCTATGTTGAACAGAAAATGGGGTGTGTAGCTGTACGCTGGTGCTATGTTTTTTGTTTTATGAATAGGTACCTTTCCGGGCACTCAGAGAAGTGTCAAAACACAGGCTTGCTTCTCAGGTCCGTGCGTATTGCAGTTGATGAACAACCAGAACAACTTCTTGAATAACTCGGAGCTGCTTCATAATCTATGGCCCCTTGGAAGGGAATATGATTCTCATGTTGCACTGTTGTATGAGGATGGTGTACTTCATAATTCTAAGTTCACTCTGGAACCTCATAGGCCTTACTTAGCCGGTCGAAAACCATCGCGAGCACCGATATACGACTACTTCGATTCGTATAAAAATTTTACAAATGGCAAACTGGATTCTAAGCGACAATAATAGTTGTAGTGCATCGAGATAGCCTAACGCTACTAGCGCAATACGGCTTCCGAGATATAGACACATATCACACCCTTCCGGTCAATAAGCACTAACATGCAAGCCGTCCAAAAAAAGTTCATTTATGACAAGGTGCACCTCAATACCACTCATTCCTTTTCTGTGTTTGCCAACTATTCGGATGTCAGGCTTATTTCTACAGCGCTTCGAAATTGATAGCACGACGATAGGTAGTAAGGAGATTGACTGGCATATCAGGATGGGCAAAGAATGAAGGAAGTGGCTGGTCTTGTTCGGCAGTTGAAATTCTTCCTTACCTGAGCTCTGGTTCGGCCTCGTTCTAGCTTTGATAGATAATTTGAATTTCGGAAGAGGAAAATTGTTACGACCGAATACTCGACCTTGAGTCAACTAGATGTCAATTGGTCGATAGTTATTATCAGCCAGTGGGTTCTGAAGGAGATATATCTTGATCGTGCTAAACGGAGACAGCTCGCTGATTAGATAATATTGCACGATAGCTTTCGCACTAGCGCATTAGTTACTACCTAAAATGGATGTCACATTGTCGGAGCTCCTGGAGACCTTTAAAGTGCGGGCTCCCTTGCTTAACCTGCCGTTTCTTCGATCTACTACATCTTTAAACATCTTTTACCGTGATTTGCTCACCTTCATACACAAGATTTGCACGCATTTGACCACCTAAGTATAACGATAATCAATTATGGCTCGTATCAGCTAATCCAAAGCTGCGAGATTCAATGCACATACTCTGACCAAGCTTCAAGCTGCCATCGAGAAGGATTCGGAGACTGACCTTACAGTAAAATTACCGTTGAGGTATTCTGCTCATTTGAGTAGTATATGTCAAAATGCCCATGCTGGTAGATAATTCTTTATTAAAGGATTTCAATTCCTAATTCTTTTTGAGATCCAGAGAATGCGACCGTAATTAAAGGCCACCGAGAAGATGATATTTACGCCTCTATTTGCTCAATAGACTTAGCTGAGATTGTTTTTCCTCTATTAGATATGGTGAAAATTCTGCTTAAAATATCTGATTCAGCTGTAGTGTAGTCACATTATCTTGCGCAGCGATTAATTAATCTTATAGATATTAGCAAGGTTGTCTGGAAGGGTTTCTTTGCCCGTAAGAAAATGGTCTTGAGCTGTGGTTATAATATTATTTTCAAAGCTGTACGAGATCTGGATGATATAACTGAATATATAATACTAGTCTACCTTTAACAGCACAAACCGAGTATAGCCGCACCAAAACCTCTTGGTTTTATTTGAGTAAATAATATCTTGCTTATCTCTATAATCCATTTAGACTTGACTACCTTGGCTGAGGTATGGCTATTACTAAATATAGTCTAAAAAGCTGTGATTAAGAAGCAGCTTATATTAATTATGAATAACTTAAGGTATTTGCCGTATGATATAGGCACATTCTTTGGAGGAGTTAGGGACAAAGACTATAAAGATATTCGAAGATATCTTCATTAGAGTGCCAAGCCTATACTTACTATTAATTAATTTGAAGATTTCCTGTTCACTACTAATCAGGCTGGTAGTGAAGTCTTTGCTGATTTGCTTCGTCAGCTATTCCCTTCTACTTATTCACCTTTACCTGTAATTATTTCTATGCATGGAGACTTACGCCCCAAAAATATTACTATGAAGTCTGAAAACAATAATTAGATCATTAGTAGTCTCATTAATTAGGAGTACAGTGGCTTCTATCCCGAATATTATGAAGCAATCAGGTGCACGAAATGCATGGCGCCCTATGAAGAGAATGATTGGTTCCTATTCATACCTGATTGCATTTCACCAAGAAGGTACATGCATTGGTGGCTTTTTGACCGGGCTCGACAAGTGAGAGTAATATAGATGAAGTGGGATGGCAATGGCCATGATTTAGAGAATAGCCCCTCTTTTCTTCTTTAAGTGGTGGCCGCACAAGAAGCCACGTGATAACAAATTCTGGTCACGTGGTTAAATTTTTGGGCATCAAAGAGCCCCGCACTGGAGCTCCGGCTTCTTGAAATTCAGTCTCTAAGTGTTTTCCCTTTCACGTCTCTTTACTGATAGAGGCAATGCCTCATGATACCATGTTTCTCCAACGACAAGATATTTCCGAAGCGATGAAGAGCGCCCTTACGAGGATCAGGGAACTTATCCTGGCCGAGAAGGTCAGCACAGAGGAAAAGAGGCAAGGGGGATGGAAATATGGCGGTAAAGAGCTTGAATTCGAGATGAGACTATTGAATGATGCAATGGATAGCAAGTACAAAGTCAGTCAAAATGCAGGTGTTTCGTCCTGTTCTAACTCAGACAGGTGCTTGACTCTAATGTATTTCATTTCGTGAACGGCGCGATTATCCACAATCCCACGAAAAGTCTAGTCATGATCCCACTGAATGGAACCCCTAAACTCAACTCTGGCGAACCTCTTTTACTCGACACTTCTTATTATACCGAGGAAAGGCAGTTGCTTTTTGGTGAGCAATGGGATATCATACTAGCTGCGATGGAGAAGGACACGCCATGAGAGCAAGGGGAATTCAGCCAGTGCATGTGGAATAGCTTGGAATACATGCAAGAGCGTTTTGTACTGCGATCGGTATTTCGTCTGTTAATAGCGGAGAAGGAGATGGATCTTCTGGTGGCCCATAGAGATGGAGTCGGTCAGCAGGGTTGACTCCTATGTAGGTTCTGGGTACTTCTTGCGGGTCAACAACATGCGGATACCCGAACGGAACGCAATTCTGCAACAATGGTGACCTCGTATCTCGTGCGATAAGTATACACGGATGCTCGGGAGAATCGACTTCTTGGCCATATGAGAAAGGTATGTCTTCTTGCGGGCCAACCACGTGTGGGAGTTCAAGGTCGCCGGCTTCCGGAAGCGGCGTGAAGTTCATATTCTGCTGAAAATCTAAATCTGCTTGCGTAGGGTCCATCGGCATGTTCTCCCGAGGACTTGGTCCTTGTCTTTGTCGTTTTCCTCGTTCCTCAAGTTCAGTAACTGGCCTCTGACGTTTTCTTCTCATGTGTTTAATCCTAGCTAAACAGCTAGTTAGTAAGCATCGACGGACTCATCATGGTGGGTATCATACTTTTATAAGACTGGTAACAAGATATCGTCCACTCATTATTGTTGCAGGCATATCCCTTCCATTCGGACGATGCGATCAAACGAGCGAGTAGTGGCATATTGCAGAACCTTACGCGTACAAAGGCCCAAAAACAGGACGATATTATCCCGATTATACCCAGCGATGGGGTATCCACTCCCAAGCACCTTCTGTAGATTTTGGAGAAGACGTGAAGCTGTATGCCATATCCCACGTATTTCCGAGCTTTGAGCCGATCGTTGAAGTCGCTATTATCGACAAATTCCTTATAATGAGATTTTCTGTTACCGCCTGTATTTTCACTTAACTGGTCGATTCTTGATTTGCCGTTCGGGGGTAGCTTCTGTTCCATTTCCCAATCAGTGTAGTCATCAGCCAAGGATATCGCACTCATCCCACAGCGAATATTGATTTCTGGGGAGAATTTGCCTTCGGTGTCTGATTGGGAGATATCGACGATCCGTGGATCCTCAGTTGACCAGTCCGTTCGACTCCAAACAACTGACTCTGGTTTCCCTTGCATGCATTGCAGAATCGCATCTTTATGTTTTTCCAATCTCTTCATTAGTTGTAACACGTCATCCGGTACTTTTATAGGGGCAGGATCATCGGAGAGTGCACATGTTGCTGGAGAGGGCGCTGTTGATGCTGGAGACAGTACTGCTGGTGTTGTTGTAGCTGGTGCGATCGTGGCTGGTGCTGGCGTGGCTGAAGACTGTGCTGCTGGAGACGGCGCGACCTGCCTTACAAAGCTGTTGGCAGTGATCTGGTGTTGTGTAAAGCTTTCAATTATTGAGCTTGACGAGCAAGGCGTCTGTAAAAGAGAGTGTAGTGTGTGCAGGGCCACTGTGAGCTTGTCGCGATATAACAGGAGGTCATCTCTTTGCGCCTCCTGTATATTAGATAATGTTGAGACTGCTTCCAAAATCTTGTCTAAAGAACTCATAATGTAGCCATAATTTGAAGGGATTAGATGAAGAGTGTTTGTGGGTAAGCTGGCATATATCAATAGAATAATCCCTGTCGAGATGGACTGCTCAGCTGTCCATCTCGACAGGGATTATTCCAAATCACCTTGACCGTGTAATAAGAAATGTAGCAGCAAAGGAAGGTTACTCGCGCTCCGAGTGCCTTGAGTCTCCAGAGCGCCATTCAATCAAATAAATCATCCATACCTACTGCAGGCTGCGCACAGACATAGGAAGTCCCAAATAAAATAATATTAGCCAATCATTCCTATCTCACATACTAGCGTATGTCGGCCAGCTCCAAGCATTGCTGAAACCTGGCTTTACTGATCAGCGTACGAATAGCCTAGTTTGCACTGAGTCTTGTATGTTCGCAATGTATTTGGACCATAAGAATTCCGTGTCAATTTGAATAGTAATCTAGTGACGAGACTGAAGGTTAGATTTACTAGAAGAAAAATAATCTAGTATGGGAGACCGAATCAGAATTACTCCCTGAGTATGAAATGAACATATCTTAAGCATCAAGGTTTTATATTGAGTACAAAATTACCATAATCCAGCCAGGTCTTTACGCCTACACGTACCAGTCGAAATAATACGATATTGTGCGATTGAGCTTGCCTTCTTTAAAATCTTGTGCCTGTTTGACAGTCAGCAAAAGCTGTAGCTAAATTACTCAGAACTTACCAAGGCGTTAACAAAATAGTCTACCATTTCCACCTCTTCTTTGATCCATTTCTCTTGTCTTGGCGAAAGATCACCCTCAGAGAAAGTTTGGGCAGAATCAAAATCTATCCAGACTATCCTCTTGCATGCTAAGGATACCATCATATTGCGGGGCTTAGGATCACCGTGGAGAACTTTTGCCCTGTGAAAATCGCCGAGAATCTCGCGAAATTTAGCCAGGCGTTCTTCTGAAAAGTTGGATAGGCCTATTTGCTGCAGGTCTTGAATATACTCAATAAGTATGGCATTGGGCGGTAGTTTGTCGTCAAGAAACATGTCAAGGTTTGGCCAAGCAGCCGGTTGGATCTTTCTAATTGTTCCGTAAAAATCTGGGATAACTCCCCTCTCGCAGAAGCCCTTCGATTTCAATCGATGGTATGCGGTAGACTCGGAAATAAAGAGATTGACTTCGCGGTCACGGGGATCCAACTCAGAGGGCTCCCTATCGTGATACTTCATTTATCAGCAATGGGCCAGTAATGTAACAAGAACATCTATACTTACCACTTTCATCACACATAATCTTTTCCGGAAGTGGACTTTGAAAACTACTGAGTATTTGCTCTTCTTCAATGTTTCAAGGAATTCCACCTCAAATGGTTTCAGATCAATCTCAGTAGACATGATGCCTATGTGAAATTTGTAAAGTAAGTGAAAGATGAGGGTCGACTGTGAGTTGTTTTGGTTGGATTAGCGACTTGGATAGTTGAGGATAGAAGAATGTTCGTCCGCCCCTGTTTAAGTTCTTATGTTATCCTCAATGCCTGAGGCATAAGTAGCCCCTTACAAGTCGAGGTTTTGCATGCGACACGTGCGACTCTTCTTTTTGATGCTCCGTATTAGCTCACCCTAGCTGGAATTTCAAGCTAATCCTCTGAATATTGCGCCCCGTGGCTGAAACAATACATATATAGTAAGCGCCCATGAGAATGAGAGAAACGATGGGAAGATCGTAAAGTGGGGTTTGGTGAGTGGAAAGGTTGGAAACACGGAATCCGAGCCAATCCATTAGATATCTTGCTATATTAATCAGGCAATCCCTGTCGAGATGGACTGCTAAGCAGTCCATCTCGACTTGAATTTACTCAAGAGAACAAATCCGATCTTTCGATTATTGCGGTCCAAGGCTGAAACCATTAACTTTTTAGCTTTTCTAAGCACCCATGAAATCAATTTGGACCAAAACTATTCACGAGAAAACATTTGGTTGTTCCTAAGCGTCTATTAAACAGAAATCTGCACCAGGCTACTGCAAGTTCGTTCTCATGGTCCGCGTGTAGTACCTTTGACAAAGATCAAAAGGATGTCCTATTTTGTATATAAAGGACGGAATTCTACCTGCAATCTAAGAACACTGATTTCAGATGCGAGGGATAGTCTTGCTATCATTTTAATACTATTATTTATCACGATCAAAACTTTGACAGCATCATTATTTGTATATCATGGCGGCCCAAGTTAGTCTCATGTCGTACTTACAACATGGTCCTCCTCCGCTGCCTATCATCGCTCAAGGGCAGTCACCACAGAATACACAAAATGATAATTACAGGGCTGCTGATATCAACAATGTGGGCCACTGGGCTGGATTCAACCTCGCCTCTATCCAGGAACAATTCGGTCCTCTTTTAGCTGCCGCACAAATTCCTGATGAACCATTTCAAGATTCTCCTCCGCGGTCAATAAACTCCGAAGCTGCAGTTCGATCCCGTATTGACGCCTATTTAAGCAACCGGATTACACGTGCCCTTCGCTGCGGGTTTTCGCATTTGCAGTCTACTCAACAGCTGGCCAATCTCACAATTATAAACTACGACGTTGGTCAGATGGCTGCAACTCCTGGTGGCTTCACTCCCGACTTTGCCTTCTTTGATCCAAATCTTAATTCCATGAATAGACCGAACCGCGTTCCAGGTGAGGCTAAACCTTCGTTCAAATGGTCCCTTGGCCTGAGGAACCATCCAGCCCCCAGTTCGCGCGAGGAATTCAAACAGGCCTTATCCCAAGTCAACTACTACATGAGGCAACATCATGCGCGCTACGGCTATATCATAACAGATCGTGAACTTGTCGCTATCCGAAGGCTCGATGAGGATGGAAACTTGGAGCTCTCAACGTCCATTCCCTGGACAGCTAAGGGTACTGCTTCAGAGCCGAGACTAACAGTGCTGCTTGGGATGTGGTATTTGGGAATGCTTGCGGCAGATAACCAGTTCTGGTATCTCCATTGATTGCATCTTTGGAAAAGCAGATGGAGCTTTAGAATGCTTTCTTCGATCTTGTGGCTTGTTCTGTTGATGTTCTGTTGATGTTCTGTTGATGTTCTGTTGATGTTCTGTTGATGTTCTGTTGATGTTCTGTTGATGTTCTGTTGATGTTCTTCTGTTCATGTTCTAGTTTTACACTATTCCGAAACTAGGCCATGCAAAGGTCCAAAATACTTATGACCCCGAATCCACCACGTACTGATCCTAGGCCATCAACAGAGCCCCTTTTTTCTCGTGAAAAACTAGTTTCTAAGGAGCTTCAATCTGGGATTTCCTACGCGTCAAGAGTCGTGCAAGGCATGTATGTGAACATCAAGAACATCTTTATGGTGATCGCAACATTGAGTAGATCTCAGCATTAGCTTGACCAAGAAATACATTATTGAGTATGATTATCTTATCAAGCAGGCTGTACTAGAGTTGTAAGCCTGTTTGTTAAAAGATACTTTGACTTGAAACAGACCCGGCCGACCTTACTGTCTCCCTTAACCGTCCTACACGTGACGCACAACCCGCTTATCTGTTCGCTTACTCCTGAACCTTTTGTAGCTCTTCGAGCTACGTCTTGTCTAGAAACCTGAGAACAACTTAATCCAGTAGCTAGTTGAAGAATTAAGAAAAATATTGTTTAAAAAACCTGTTAGTCAAAACTGCTAGTCCTACCACTCCCGCCAGCCCTCACCTTGACATAGTCCATTAATTAAGTACAAATTTATAAGAAATAAGAAATTGTTTGTTAAATAGTTTAGTAGTAGAGTATATCACATTTTCAGATCCAACCTAAATTTATCATATTAACAACTCATAATATACTGTTGGATTTTGGAAGGTTTAAAATAACTTTCACTAAGCTTTTACTCTTACATACAATTTGTGTGTGGAAGGGAGGTGAAAGTAGGGTGAAAGTACAAGTAAGTAAAAGAATAATCAAAGATATAATACATAGATAAGAAAAGACAGAATTATTAAGGGAAAAGTAGGTCAGTCAGGTATAGTGTTACGGGACAGACCCGCAATATTTGCTGCACGTGACTGCAGCCTCTTTCTCTTCCTACCGGACCTACCGCAACCTTTCTGTTCTCTAACTATTCCTTCTTGTTCGTACGGCATGCTTAGGTTAGGATCAAGCTAAGTTCATCCCATAACATATAGAATAGTAGCACTTCATTGATTCCCAAGACTAATCCTTGCTATCCCAGAGTCATAGCAAAGTTCTAGGGATTAGGTACTAGAAAAACTCAAGTCATTGACGTCACGACCATTACATGGAGAATGTTTGGGCAAGCCATCGGCAGCACGACACGGTTACAGGGATACCCATGACACTGTAAGTACGGGAAGTATTAAAGTTAAGGAAGATTTAGCAGATTCAAAATTTCTCTTCATTATTGTTCTTTTTTATATTTTACTATTAAGAGTACTATACTTGCCCATAGGGTAACAAGCAGGGCGTTCTAATCCTCCCACTTAATGTTGAGTAACAAAATATCTTGATACTATACTCTAATCTTTTATTCTTGAATTTGGAAAGGATCTGGGTTGTGCAACCTATAAACTATTACTCATAACAAAAACCATCCCGTAATTGCTAATTTCTTTCCCCGTAGTAATCACAGCCAGTTTGCTTATTTTGAAAAAAATCATTATTTTTAGTAGATATTATTACAGCACTGTTATAGTATAAAGTATTGTTATTCCATCCGGTTCTGGATTAGGTCTAGTGTGGTTTTATTTTAAGATTACTAAAACAATCAAAAAGTGTAGGTAGTGATTCCAGTTCCGGAAGCTTTGTAGAGCTTCAAGTGTTAGGAATTTGTTCAGAGTAGTCATAATAGAGTATTTGTTGAGGTCAAAACCCTGCAGGATATCAATCTATCAGAGCCGCATCGCACGTACATTGATGTGAAAGACGGAGAGCGTGCTTGGGTAGCACCAGAACTAGGCTAGCGCAACTATATTCAAGCTGAGTGGTAGTCAGGCTGTGATTCACATCATAGAAAGCAAAATGGTTCAGGCAGTATGATCCTAATTAGGCTAGAAGCGGTAGTGAACTTCACCGGAGAAGGCCTGCCTACAATCAACAGGCGGCCACAATCTGCGATTGCAGATTGTGACAATACAAGCTAACAAGGATTATACGAGGTGGAATGAGAGGACTGATCAAGTGTCCTTCTTAGCGCGAGTTCGTCTACCAGCTAACGAGAGTCCGTCAAAATATTGATGCACAGAGCATCGTGTAGACCATTACTTATAGACGAGTTTCCTTGGGCTTCAAAGCAGAACAATTCAAAGCAATCTGATAGAATCCGAACATACATCCACCTATTATCACAGCCATATGATTCATGAATATGACTGGAATAGTCAATTCTGGTACGGTTCTGCGTTCTGGCAACACTTGCATAGCTAACCGGATCTACCATTAGGAACAGAAGATGATCCTATCTTGGTGCTTGATGATTCCCCAGATGCTGCCTCAAAATCACTTTCCGATAATCAAACAGCCGATGTTGGAGTTCGAGATAAAACCATAGATTTCGACCAACATGGTATTGTTCTAACTGGCACAATCAAGAGCTCATCGTTCTCAGCTTCGTCTATGAATAAGACGGAACAGGCTACAGGCGGTAAGGCACTTTTCCTCTTGGTGCTTGGATACACTAACCTGGTTGTATTCGTAGACATGTACGATAGCCCGACGTTCGATGGTCTAAAAACCATTCCGAATACCCCCTGTAACACCTTACAAGCCGATGGTTCTGGTCAAAGCGACCAGACCAAGACCGACAGTCGTGAAGCAACTCCTTATGATACCATCAGCAGCCTAGCATCAGAAATAACACCAACGAACAACACCGGTTCCTTTATCATGCACTCTGGAGGGCGCACTATTGTGGCCGAGCAGGACAACAAGATACTAATTTTGGAATATGAATGGCTTGGAACAAATGAAGAGGTCGATTTTAGTCGAAACGAGACTTGTCTTACAGTAGAGGGACACAAGTTTGTTGCACGTCTGAAGTGGTCTTTTGTCGTACCAATCGAGCTGCATACCCCTAAGCGATGTGCAAGCGTCATGACTGACACAGATGAGCCCCTTGTTGAGGATGAACAACGCAAGAAGAGAAGGATCACATAACTAGAAATATGCAAGCCACGAATCTGATTCTAGTGGCAGCATGGGAGAGGCTCAAAGTAGAACATAGTCTCAATCTTTTTCCATGATGTTTACTGTTATGCTGCGGGCAACCTGACTGTCCTTGAAATTGTCAGGGTGGAAACTTTTCTCGTATTGCTTTATATTCCAAAGCCGTCCCGGCTCCGCATAATATAACATTTTTTATTTACCCTGTCGTTACTTCTACTCCAACACAAATGACTGAACTAAGATGTGAAGTCAAACGCTGCTTGCAGCGTTTGGAAAGTCTTCTTCGAATTAATGGAGATAATGTAAGCTCTCTGACCTAGAGTCTTCATCTAGTCTAACACTTGATAGGATATAAGTGACCGGATTCGTGAGATTAGACAAGCCTCAGATCCGCTCATATCTCTACGGCAGCTCTTCTCCGATGTGGTACAGAGACGAAATACACCTACTGAGAACGAGACTGAATGTATGAATTTCTACCGTGATTTCCAGTCAGCTGATGGACCATTGTCCACCAAGCAGGTAGAAAGCCTCACGGCTGTGACAAAACGATGGAAGCTTGATAAAGAATATGTTCAAAGCCTGAAAACCTGTGCCGAATTATGGTGCAAGTATCCTATTCTATTCTGGCTCGGGCTACCTGATAAGGAACCTACGAGGCGCTGTATAAACGAGTTACAGAGAGCAGATCAAATTGACTCCACCAAGCGCAGGGTTCTGTTGGTCATGTTATCTGAAGAGGTTGAACGCCAAAGGGTCAATAATCAGACACAGAGAAGAAGGCGTAAGAGAGCAGATCATCAAGCAAAAAAGGCATCTAGCTATGCCCGCGATTCTGTTGACAGTCTTTGCAAGTGCTTGTATCCTCAAATGAAGAGAGAAATGCTGAAGACCAAGAAGTCTCAGATTTCGCTTTATGCCGGCTACGGATGGAAATGGAGTCAATTACACCCTAATGCATATGTTCTGAGTTTACCAAATATCGATATCAATAGGTAAGAACACATGGATTAGATATCCGCAATATGAGAATCTAGCTAAATGAACAGATATGAGAGAAAATGCTGGACATGGATCGAATTCGAGGCGATCAATGCCTTCATGCATACTTTACCTCAGGTTGAGGTTGCGCAACCCCTTGAAAATGCTTGGAATGCCATGACCAAGTTCTACCGCAGTGGAGATCTATTTTCAAAAGGAAATCAGATATATGCTGATTTGAGAGGAGGTAATGTGTCTCAGCTGAGCTTGAGCTTAGCTAATAATATGTCAAGATTTGGGCATCGCATCGGATGATATGCTGATTTCGGTTGTGGCCGGAGCTTTACCATATCCGACCGATGTATCCAGCTCGAAAAACTGGAAAAGCTTACAACAAGCACCAGGCGATTTGGATAGTGAGACGAATACAAGCCCCGAAATCGACTCGAACTCAGCCCATGAGCTAAACTCGGAATTGGGACACACCAGTGAGCTTGGAGAGTTCAGTCGGCATACATCCAATGAAGTTCCTACCACGCAAGGACGCTCTTCTTTCACCGGAAATCCTTTCAATACCTCCGAGCCTCCTGGTGCAAATACTGTCGCACGTAGATCACAGACACCTGTTCAAGAAGCAGGAGGTAACATGCTCAGGGACTTTAACAACAGTAATATACCTGAGCAACCACAAAGAACCTCCCAGAGCATGACAGTCGCCTCACAAGCAGTAGAGGAAGATCCTGACGCAAATATAAGTGCCGCATGCATTACCCCACAGCGATTGGTAGAATTATCATTGTATTTCTTTGCTCGTCAAGAAGCAGACGATACACATGATCACTAGTCTTGTCAAGATTTTATTTATGGTACAGAAACAGAAACCAGCACCTCTCATCCAAACTTGATTCAAAGGAAAGTGTATAGCCGCTTGAAACAACGATTATATCACCTGGGAACCAGACTTGAGATAAAGAAAGCAGTTTATCTTCTCTGCATCGGCTTCTGATCTGGATTTGAGATTCAATAGACAAAGTAGCAAGTGGGATAATAATTACAAATTGACAGCCTGCAAGGGAGAACTTCCCATCTTCTAGTAGGAACGAAATTGGCTTTGCGAGATGTTCTGTCTGGTACAGTATAAGACTGAGGTAAATCCAAGATTACTTAGAGTATGGGGCTTACTTGAGACAGATATTCATCCTTAAGCCTTGTCAAAAGTTCCTCGCAGAAGAGTGCTGGTGGAACAGCAGCCAGAACCTTAGAATAATTTTTAGGACGAGCATAATGCTCGCAAGTCTCTTTAGAGATCTGAGAAACGAATTTTTTGAATTCTGTAGTAGTTTCGACATGTACAAGAGGCCGCTCCATCTCTCAAGTCATGCTGGCGTAAAGTTACATTCGAGTAGTATATATAACTAATGGATTGAGATTTACAAACATCAAGTAGGGGGTGTGGTGATATATAAAAAATAGTATTGGGAGCTACTGTAATGTTCACTGTCTCTAAAGCTTTACTTGTCGGGTGAGACTTACATGGAATCCGAATTGTTGAAGATGGGATTAAATAGAATGATTGCCCTCCGTGAGAGATTACCAGAGTATGGTCTGCGGAAAATATGTGAATATATATAAAAACTGTGAATCTCGTTTACTTAACTCCACAGTACAGTTGATGATGATGATGATGATTCATACGCTGACCCCTCGCCTAAGGCGACATGCAGGATCCACTATCTATACTCTCTATGTACATCTTTGAACGTGAACTATTACTTTTCTGACGAACTTGGAGCCTCGTCAAGGCCTGTATAAGCCGGTGCCTAGGGTTATATTCTACCACCCTCGTGGCGCGCGACTTTAAAATCTCTGCGATGCCTCCGCGAAGTCCAGAACTGCCCCAAGAACACTACTGTCCGGCGGGATATCTTATAGCCTACCTTCCCTACCTTGACCTACTCCTTCTAGTATATCTGATATGTTATTTAAGGCTCCTCCAATCTTCTGCCACAGTATTTAATGTATAGCGCTCAGCCGCGGGCAGTCGATAAGTATGTGTACTACTGTTTCAGTGGCTCTATACTTGTACCGCTCGTCTGCCCGGAACCTATATTATTTGCTATATATTGTCAGCTATGAATAGCCTGTACGGAGCTGTGTAAGTAGATATACTCAATTCCGCGGAAGTGAGCTGTATAGATGATGAGATCTGCTAGATGGCAGGCCTTGGTCAATGTGGCGCAGGTATTCTCTATTTTTCAAGGTCCTCCATTCTTATTCCTACTCTTGGTAGATTCTTCTATATATATATTCTTTCTCCCATAAGAGAAGATATTTGAAGGGGTACTTCTTTCCTGTACCCACTGCGTCCTTAGCTAGCCGGTCGGCCGCCTTGTTTCCAGGGTCCCCGCAGTGGCCCGGCACCCATTGCAGTCGCAATGGAATACCTCAGGCTTTCAGCTCGCCAGCTGAGTGGTAAATAGCCTTGATAATACACTAGTCTGATTTATTCTATAAGTTTCTGATTACCTGCAGGGCAGACATACTATTACTGAGGAATATTACTAGTTATTGATTTATTATAGAGTCCCCTTGGTCTCTCTATGCTAGTTGGAAAACTAGTCCAATAGCATAGTAGATTGCCATAAGCTTGACTACATAGACTGACCAGTACTCCATCAAGCCAATGCTGATTTGTCGAGATTATAGGACCTATAGATTATAGTCCAGAGCTACTGCTGCTGTACCCAGTTAATTCTGCTTTCCTAAGGCATCTGAGAAGACTGTAATACTAGTTACTGATCTTTATCTTACCAGTACTCTGGCCTGCACTTTCTCTCAGTCGGACTCAATATTAATCTTGACAAAGAGTTGCTCCCGCCACGGTACTAGTGGTCTTGGGTCAATAGTCTCAAGGGCCTGCAGGCGCCTCAAGTCTATTGTTTACATTGTCTCTGCTAGTAGATAACGTGCCATATTATAAATATACATACTGTATTCCATGGCTCATTTCATGATTCCTCGCACTGGATGATCATCCGGTAGGATACTGAACCGGGCTGCTGTAATCTGTGCTCGCAGCTTCAGGCGCAGGCGAGTAGGCAGCGTGTGAGATTCGACTTCCAGGGCGTCGGTGGAGACTGTTCGGAAGGCAGAGAGAATGCGAATAAGTGCTGTTCGCTGCAGTGTCTCGTGTCTCGTGGCTGGGATATCAACACAGATGTGAACGATTCCGTTCCATCAGCATTAGTGTTAGTCTAGCAGTAACTTTGTGATATTTCGTCTCGACTGATAGCTATACCAGTTATACATTCGAAGATAAGAAACTCCTCGAATGGTTTATGAAACACGGCGCGGATCCCAACAAGAGATGTCGTATACGTGACTGTACACCACTCTCTTACGCTGTTAGAGACGCTCCTTTTGAGATCATTAAACTCCTTTTCAATAAAGGAGGTCAAATCTACCATGGGCAACTTTTACATTATGCTGCCATGCGAACAGCAGATGATAACCTGGTGGTTCTACAGTTTATCTATAACCAAGACCCAGTTTACAACAAGTCGCAAATCAACAAACTTTTAGACGCAGGATCGCCGAATTACCTCATGAATGAACGAAATGGCCTAGGAACTCCTTTACACTACGCGGCAAGCTGCGGCTCAGTGAGTATAGTAACGTTCCTTCTAGATAAGGGCTCAGTACACGATTATCTTGACCCTTATCACCGCACTGCAATGGGATATGCTGTTCAAAATGGGCATTTCGAGGTTCAAGAGATACTTGCCGGACAAAACACAGATGCAAGTACTTGATACTGTCTTTGAAGCACCTAACTTTATTGTTTGGGCTGTATCTTTCTTCTGGAACTTCTCTGATATGAACAAAAGTTCTCTGGGATGTTGCAATATTTGTCTGGGTTCTGTATTTATGATTTCTGTTCTGGATATCGGGCACGTGCTTGATTACTTTTCGCCCTCACCTTTCAGCCAGCTCGTCTTGTTGATTCTTTGTAAATCTAGCTTGTGCTTTTTGTAAGATCGGTGACGGCGGTTCATCCTACGACTCGTATTTATATTAAAGAATTTGTTCCTTATCGTTGAAAGTAGTCATATCAGATCAGTATACTGTATAACTTAATAGGAGCAATAATCAGCTAAGGGTTCGGTTGTAGCTTTGTAGTATCCAGGTTAGACAGGGCAATTGCCCAATCATCTGTAACAGTAACTATTATCGACGTAATTATCACGCAGACTCCGGAGTTTTGAGCAACTCGTGCGTACTTTCTGATGGAGGCCTTGTTGAGATTCCACTGGGTGGGTGTATTTCTTTTTCGGTAGGGGCTAAGTACTAGATATTAATTGCGAGTTCTGTTCTAATGTTATTGTTCAGACCTGTTTGTGTCTAACTGTAATGGCACGTTAAGTTGTGATTGCCCTTGGATCACAGCTCTTACTTGACTGGAGGGTGTGTTATGTCTAAAGCTCAGCTGGCTGGTTCCCAAAGGGTTCTTATAAGATATGAAAGATGGTTTGGATACACTAGACTGCCTTCTGCAACGAATATTTCCACAAATATATGTGCTTGATGATGCGGCACCATTTTCTTACTGGTACTTGTCGGGTTTAAGTGGTGCTTAACGCTTAGTTGGTGAATTATACGGAAAACAAACAAAGTGGGATTCGAAGTAGGGTACTGTACTGTACATTGGGATTATCAAGAACTGTACAGCTGGGCGAAGCAACTTTGTGTGCCAGCCAATAAAAGTGGATACTGTATATGGACCGACACACTTAAGACAACATTTGAATAGCCTAAAAGTAAGAAGCTTACCCAAGTCTAGTCCAATCTGCACTGATACAAGCTGCATACTTAAGCTGGATGTGCCCATCGAGTATAGTGATAACACCAGGTTAATCTGATTTATCAGTCTTTCTCAGGACTGAGCATCTCTTTGGAAGTTGACAAGAACAATTAACTCAATTGATATTAAATAAAATGGCCGAAACTACTTCAAGACCAGTGTAAGTCACTATCTCAGTCGCAATTATATATAAAGTCTAAATATACAGATATCTTGAGTCGCAAGCCCAATACTTGGGTCTCAAGTGGTACACAGTTCTGGCAAAACGACTTTCAGGGCCACAAGCAGTCCCGCCGTATCTCGATTATACTTTGATATCCGACTGTTCGCATAATCTTCTTGAGAGTGATAATCCATCAGACTTTGTTGCAGGGCTCATAATTAGAATCTGCCTATCAACTAATTCGAACCTAAGTGAAGTCCATGTTGGTAGGGATAGTGTAACATTGGCAAGATTGCACTACGCTATCCGGGGACAAGGAGCTTTAGAAGCTGAAGCTCAAATCATTGCGATCTTTTCATATCTTCTCTCCGTGACTGTTGAGGAGCCGCCGTCCTCTATGCCGGATGATCTATTGCGATTAGCAAACTCATGCCTGCGTGAGATCAAGCTACCTTCGATATCCGGCTCATCTAGCTTCTTGAAAACTTACGCAAGTTGGAGGTGCATCGGCGAAAGACATGAAATGGCATATGGACAGCTTCTTCCACCGTGTGTGTCAACATCCTTTTTTATCATGGACATATCTTTCCTCATATTGAGGATCGATTCTTCCAGCGGAAGGGATAGCATGGAATTAATGCACGTATTATATTCCACATCTGCTTGCTTGAAACTTCTCACCACAGAATGGCTTTGGAAGGTAGGATATGTTGCATGGGGCATTCACGCCCTCTACGGGCTTCTGTATCACATGGATCAACAGATATGTTCGCCTCTGCGACACCAGCATATAGATGTCTTTTGGACTTCATTCCAGTGGTTCTCTGTCAGCTTGCAGCAATTGGCTTTGGATGCTTGTGGTTCTATCGATTCATATCTATCAGAGGACAACCATGAAGGCAACATACCTCTCGAAACAGCAAGACTTGTATACTCGCGCCTATATGTCTTGAAAGTCAATGTATCCCGTTTTTGCGACGATAATTCTGAAGGTGAGATTTTTCAGGTATTCAAGAGCTTTGATTGCTAAATTGATCAGGATTATCAAACAAGAATACAACTGTGTCAATGCCCGCAACCGATGTCAACTATATTGAAGACAATTATAGCTGTATCGATGGTCCCATGACCCCTCGGCAGCAATGCAAATCTTCTGTGGCTGGACTTAACGAAAGAAGTATCCAATCTAACTCGAGTTCAGCGGAACAAGAGTCAGAATTCCTACAAAAGAGCTGTACCTTCTTCACCCGTGAGGAATACCGCTATATGATATCTCACTGGATGACTTGGATTTATCAACAGAGTGAGAGGGTTCCCCTAAGGAGGAAACCTGACTTTTGGCCAGATAATGTGCCATATAAACGATCAAGTAAACTAAGCAAAGATGGTACGTGACCTAGAATCATACTTGGGTAAACACTTCTGACAAAAATAGAGGCAAAGAGAACTTGGGAGCATCTACTTCGCTCCCAGCCTCTAGAAGGACTTCGATCCATCTTGGATAGTACCTCGCGCGATATCCCAACTGAACTGGTCGAAAAATTGACTGATTTCCTTGGTGCAGAGAGGTTGAAAGACTGAAACAAAACCCCAGATGTAGCTTCGCAGCCGGTGTTCTGAAATATCGCAATAAAGAGTACTCAGAGATGAGATATTTCTTAAAACATGATGCTATTTTCTTATTGGCTTTTTATTTATTCTCAAATCTTCGTCAAAGTCACTTCCACATATATATAGAGGATCTCGAAATTGGCTTGACCAACAAACACACCATGAATGTTTTTCGGAGCTACTGCCAAGATATTAGCTCAGGTAGACTATTGAGCGGGATGCTCCAATTCTAGTAAAGTCGTGTACTTAACAGACAGAATCTTAGACAACCCCATAATTTTGATACGGCCCGCTCAATAATACAATGACGCTAGCATCTTGGCAGTGGGTTTCGGAAACAATTGTAATATGTTTGTTGTTCAAGCCGAATTCGAGATTGCCTGTACAAACATCGAAGATATATATCGTGCGATCTGGAAACAACAGTCTGTCATCCCGGCAGCCTAAAATCTGAAAGATAATCTAGTAACATGTCCTACTAGTCGACGTAATCAGTGGGTTTTCGCCATCATACAGGGCTTCCTGATACTGGTGTCACCACTACCTATACTCTTTGATTGTTTCTGCAACCCCAAGATAAAACCACGCTAGACCTAACATGGAACCTGAATGGAACAACAATATTCTGTAAGACTACTGTGTACTGTAATTACATATAGTAATTTATAGAAAAATCTAGTCTGGTAAAAGTAGTAAACTATTCTTAGCTGGTGAATTTAGCAAGAAGGTTAATTAATGAATAAAGAAGCCTAGACAACGACACCAGTAGGATAATTATACTAAGTGATAGTATAAAGATATTGCAGATTCTATACTCTTCTTTTTTACCTATAATAGATTTTGGTATATATATTATAAATTTATCTAGTTGGATTAATTCTCTCTTATTGTCATGGCAAACGATTCATGAATGAGTATGCTATTAATTAGTTGAAGACGGAAGACATCAAGATGGGTGGGGACGAAGTTCTCCCGCTAAGGCGGCCAGGAAGGCGGCCAGACAAACGGACGGCAGAACATCATGTCAGCAATATTCGCCACACTTATATAGATAAAACCTAGCTTTTTAAGAAGATAATTATATAGAGCTTCTAATATTACTAGAGTTATTTTTTAGAATTACCTAACCTTAACTAAAGAGGCTTTAAGACTACTAAAAGTTAAAGATTAGATTATAGTTAAAAGATAACTTACTTACTATAATTAGTTATCTTAGCTATTTAAGAAGTACTAAGATCTCTATTAATTAATATATTATAAATGAGATTACGTATTAGTTAAGTTAGATTAGGAATTATTTGTGTAAGTTAACTACTATCAGTTATTAAATAGTAATTGTAATTCTTCTAGAACTAATAATATTGTAAGGGCTGAACCAACCCTTCCAACCTTCGCGTATTGTTGCGAAGGGAAATCTATATAGTAGGCCTCAAGCATCAGTCACGTGATAGCTAAGCGAGCAAACCGCGACCTCCCATTTAGGGGGCGGGTGACTCGCGGACTAGGCAGATCAGCAACAACACCTTAAGGCTATAGATTGGCACCTTTGGCCTCGCGAGAGCTATTCGTTCATCACGCTATTTCACCACCTTAGCCCTTATAAATATATAATATATAATATAAAAAGATATCTATATTTACAGTTATTATATAATACAGATATTATATATCTTATAACATACATCTCTATTACCTCCCAGGTCTGTGTCAGGATTGGCTTAGTATTGTTTCATCCCGGGGTTGCTGAAACAATCGAAGAGTGTAGGTAGTGACTTCGGTATCCGGAAGGTCTGTACCCATCGGATAATACTTCAAGAATACCATCACAACGATACCCCAACCAGAGTAATAAGCCGTCAAGAGAATGACAACCGTCCAAGAGAGTGCCCAGTGACAGGGAAACGACCATATACTTATACTCAGTGCAGCATTTGGAACCACCCGTGACAACTCTGTAGTATTGTAGCTCGTGACCAACCCAATCACAATGGTAGCAGTAGATGACGCTAGCCGTTCTTCTTCCCAAAACGCCCAAAAAGGACGGCCTACGGCCCGCATCTCGTCTAAAAGGTGTAATCCTTGCGATGGTGTTAAGTTTGTGAAATGACTCCGTCCAATTACAGCTCCATACTAAGCTTATGGACCGGCGGGACGAAAAACCAGGAAACATATAACACGAAATAAATAACAAATAAGATGACTTCGCCTAAATCAACACTGTTGACTTGCTAGGAAATCATGTATCTCGTAAAAATAGCAGACTTCAAATGGTCAGCAGCTTATCTGATCGTTGCAGTACACTGCACGCTACTAATTCTGGTTTCTAGCGATCTGAGGGGAGATATCATGATTCTGGAATAGGAAAGAATATTTACATAGAAAGATTTTGGCCTATCTCAATTACTTCTTTTCATTATCTTCAAACGCCATGCTCAAGTACTTTATAGTGCGAATCGTATTCTTCAAGCCCTTCTTGTTACAGGCAAGGTAGTCTTGGAAGTGCTTGATCTTTTTTTGCTGGCTTTGTACACAACCTAGCTAAATCAGCTTCCGCTGCGAACACTGTTCTTCTTTGTTAATGGTCCCAGAGCGGGAACGCTAGCGGGAGGCCGTCTGTCAGGCTAGTAATTTTCATGTTATCAGGAGAAGGTAATACGAAAACTTTGTCTTTAGCAACTGAGTACATACGTATGGTACGATGTTGAAAGGAAAATGAGAAATGATAGTTGACTGTGAAAATATGTATGTGAATTAAAAGGGACCCAAGATAGAGTAATCGGCCGAATACACCAAGTTTATGCGAACGGAACAGTGCTAAAAAGGGCGAGTCATATGAATACACAAAAATACAATCTCTGAAATGTTGTCAGTGCGCGGCCTCCTTTTCATATCTCTTCTGCTGCGGAATAACATGACGAAGGTCATTGAAGCTGGTGATTGTGTCTGGATGCTCGGGTCCCAGCACCTTCTCTCGGCCTTGTAATGCTCGTCGGGGCATAGCTTCTGCCTCTTCATATTTGCCCTGGTTGGAAAGAACCCAACCAAGGTTATCGACAGTGGTGAGTGTTTCTGGATGCGCAAGGCCCAGCACCTTCTCTCGGTCTTGTAATACTCGTTGGTGCATGGCTTCTGTCTCTTCATATCTGCCCTGTTTGGAAAGAACTGAACCAAGTTGGCTGACGCTGGTGAGTGTGTCTGGATGCTCGGGCCCCAGCACCTTCTCTCGGCCTTGTAATGCTCGTCGGTGCATAGCTTCTGCCTCTTCATATTTGCCCCGGTTGAAAAGAACTGAACCAAGAGTGTTGACGCTGGTGAGTGTGTCTGGATGCTTGGGCCCCAGCACCCTCTCTCGGCCATGTAATGCTCGTCGGTGCATGGCTTCTGCCTCTTCATATTTGCTCTGGTTGGAAAAGAATATACCAAAGTTGTTAACGCTGTCGAGTGTGTGTGGATGCTCGGTCCCCAGCACCTTCTCTCGGCCATGTAATGCTCGTCGGTGCATGGCTTCTGCCTCTTCATATTTGCTCTGGTTGGAAAAGAATAAACCAAAGTTGTTAACGCTGTCGAGTGTGTCTGGATGCTCGGGCCCCAGCACCTTCTCTCGGCCATGTAATGCTCGTCGCTGCAAGGCTTCTGCCTCTTTATCTTTGCCCTGGCAGAAAAGGACCCAACCAAGGTTGTTGACGCTGGTGAGTGTGTCTGGATGCTCGCGCCCCAGCACCTTCTCACACCCTTCTAAATCTCGTCGGTGCATGGCTTCTGCCTCTTTATATTTGCCCTGGTTGTAAAGGACTAAACCAAAGTTGTTAACGCTGGCGAGTGTGTCTGGATGCTCGGGCCCCAGCAACTTCTCTCGGCCTTGTAATGCTCGTCGGTACATGACTTCTGCCTCTTCATATTTGCCCTGGTAGGAAAGGACCCAACCAAGGTTGTTGACGCTGGTGAGTGTGTCTGGATGCTCACGCCCCAGCATTCTCTCCCGATAAGTAAGAACCTTTTGATACAGTTTCTCTGCTTCAAAGTATCGTCCGTCGTAGTACAAGCAGAGCCCACAGTTCTGTGCAAGGTTAATAACATCCTCACAGCTGTTGTTCTTTCTATTCACAGCGTATTGTGCATGCGGTATGTATACCCGCCACAATGTTCGATTTGTCTGGCTGACATTTGATAACAAGTCACTGAGTCGTAGGACTGCTTTTCGATCCCAGTCAGACAGTTGTTTGCCTCTTTTAAGCCACCCTCGCATGGCCAGATGGACCAGACGATGCATGTCAAATGCCAATCCATCCGTACGTTTTGCGATAAATGAAAATGCGTCTAAGATCCCGATCGCGTCAGTCTTCTTCTTCCGCGACAATCCCTCAGAATCTGGCAAAAGTGATTGAGGGATATTCTTCGGGTCCACACAGGCCATAAACGCCAGATGTTCAAAGGCAAGAGAACTGCGGCGACGGATCTGTTCGAACGAAATAAGCCATGTCTTGGCCACGGCATTCTCAATATCGTTATATCTGCCGCCGTCTTCGAAATCTTCACTCAGAAGCTCAATCGCATTGTTCTGGTCGGATAAGAGTTTTTTATACTCTGTAAGAGATATTTTCATCTCGTTGATGTATGCCGCGGCTTGAGCAATTGCCAGTGGAAGATAGGTAAGCTCCTGCAGCAAAGTTGACAAAGAAGATTCATCATCTTTAGTTAAAGCAGAAATCGCCAGATACTTCCGCATGATCTCTGAGGCCCCTGACTCATCCATCTCCGGTACCGGTACTATATTCTCTCGAGCAACCGTTGTGGCCACCTTGCGATCACGTGTCGTCCAAATAATAGCCCCATGCTTGCTTTGGGGCATGTAATCCAGCAATCGCTTACCGCCTGCTTCAGCGGTAAGGG